ATTTGACAGATAACGATGATGAAAACAAAAACAAAAACAGTTTTTATTCTAATTTTTTTTTCAGAAAAAAATCAGTTTTTTGTTGTTGTTATATTTCTTCCCAAATAGTATATCATCATCATAAATAAATCAACGTTTTTTTTATGAATTCCCATACGCACATTGGTCAGTTTAACAAAAAAAAATGACCAAGGAAAAAAATGATGTTCACATAGAGAAAAAAAACTAAAAACTAAAACGAATCCTAAATATTCTAAATTGAATTCAAATCAAGCATATTATTATCCATATATATTTATGAAAAATATTTTCACAAACCGAAAAAAATGATGCGACCCTTTCGACGACGACGACGACGACCTAATCAACTATGATTAAAATAAAAGAATCATAACCACAAAAAGGACACAATTTGATTAAATCATTATCATCATCATTATTATTATTATCATCATTTTTTTACATAAAATTCATTCACAATTATTTGAAATTAAAATGACAAAAATTTTCACACACTAAATTTCAACAAAAAGTGAATAAAAAGCAATGTTAAATTTGAATGAATTTTGAAAGCTCTCGCCGCTCAGAAAAAAAAAATGGAAAATAAGAGGGGACACATACACACACACAAAAAAAAACATGGTAATCATTTATTTTGATACAAATTGTCTGTTCATTTTTTTCTTTATACATTTGAAATTCCATTTTCTTGGTCCCAAAGATGAAGATGTTTCACACACATACACACACACACAAACACATAGCATCCTATATAAATTAAAACACTTTGAATCTAAATAATATTTTGAATGAATTCAACGTATAAAATTGCTGATTGGTAACATTGTTGTTACTGTTGCATTATGACGATTCAGATTCGTAATGATAACAATTGTATTGTATTCATTTTTTTTCCATAAATACGATTCTGACATATTGAAAAATGGTTTTCAACAGCGAGAAAAAAAATAAAATAAAATGAAATATTTTCATTTTATTTTTTTCACATGTCCATCCAAAATGGCATCTCTGTTGTTGTTGTTGTTGTTTGTCGGTTGGTTGATTTGTCCCCAAATATTCATATTTATGGAAAAAATGGATGTTAATTTTTTTTTCTTTGATTTAGTAAACCTCGTCATTGTGTGTGTGTATGTGTCTGCCAAACTATTATTCATTCATTCATTCATTCATTGCGATGGAGATGCAATACATAAAGTAAATGAAGCGGAAAAAAAATTTCGGAAAAATTTATTTTTTTTTATCATTCTTATTTGAAGATGATTTTTGAAACGCGTGAGATACTAAAATCTTCTATTTGGACATCATTCTTGAACCATCATCATCATGAGTCACAACGCACACACACACATACAAACGTCAATCTGATAAATTTGCAAGAATACAAAAATACAAATGAATTCTTGAAATGGACAGAAAAAAATGTCCATTATCTGATGTTGTGAGTGATGTGTGCGAGTATGAAATCAAAACATAAATCATTATATATTATGAATAACAATGAATTGTATGTGTTGCACCAATATCAACCCTGTGTGCTCAAACAATGACAGATAGATGATGATAATGACAAGAACTCGAATATAAGAAAAAAAAGAAACACAAACACACATTTTCAAGTTAAGTTAAGAATATAAATCTTTGGAAAAATTTTTTTTTCCTTATAAACATCAATGAATAAAGAAAAGAGAAGAAAAATTCGTCATATTCATTTTTATTCTACAAAAAAAAATCATTGAAATCGGATATGTCTGTCAATATGAAAATGTTGATTTTTTTCACCTAAATTTCTTCCCTTCCACCCACCACAACAACAACAAGATGACAAATTGATGGTGTTTCAGTCCCATCTTTGATCATCATTCATTCACGTACGTACATTCACGTTGTGACGTTCATATATTGAATAAATCAATAAATTTACACACCTAACCACCATAGTAATCTAGGAAAAAAAAGAATCTCATATTAAACCTCATGGTAAATTAACCAGAAAACTTATGACCATGTGAAAATACTCCAACATTATAGATAGATGGAGAGAGAATAGAAGAAAATATCTAAATCTAAATCTGAAGATTAATAATAAGAATGAATTTATTAATTATTACACACACACACACACATATACAAAGCGAATATGGTCAATTTAATTCAGGTTTCATTTTACCATATACAACGCAAAACCTGTATAATATACAATAAACAATAATTACAAGGTTTTTAATGATAGGTTTAATGCTTGATTCATAATCATAATCATAACCATAATGATGATGATGATGATGATGATAGTAATTATTGCCGGAATATAAACCGCAACATGAAAATATCTTGGTCGTGCTCGTGATGATTTTTAATTTAATTTAATTCAACCAAACATTAGATTGAAATAAATTAAAACAGCGTATATGGTATACAGATCCCTCATCATCATCATCATCATCATCATCGATGACTGCATGGCAAAGAAAAGAAACTATAGAAAAATGGAACAACTGAACCAAAAGTGTTTCACAGAAGTGGATTCTCTCATCGGATTTTTTTTTTTTTGAAAAACAAAAAGAAAAAACCGACATTCATCTCAATGTCATACTTATGGATTTTTTCTCTATATATCTCTCTCTCTCTCTCTCTCTCTCTCTCTCTCTATTTCGGTAGATTTGAATTTTTTCTTACTAAAAAAAAAATTTCATGGAAAACATTTTTTTTCATTAAATTAATTTTTTTTTCATTCTTCGTTTTTTTCAGATACCTATGGTCATCATCATTTACCATTAAGATTTTTTTTGAACAATATTAATCTGTGGCTAGCTTGATGAAAACAACAGAACAACAACAGAAGAAGAATTGAGAAGAAAAAACCGAAAATAAACGAATAACAAAAAAAAAGAAAAGAAATTTCCAATTAGAAATCAATCGAAATCGATTCGATTAGTAATTGCTTAAAATTTTTTTTTCTCTCTTTCTCAATGGCAACAACAAAAAAAGCCGATTCAATATACAATAATTGAATGATGATTGATTTTGACAGCCGTTTACTTATACATACACACACACACAGAAAACATAAACAGGTAATTCAATCCAGGATGATGATGATTATGATGATGATGATGATCAAATCGAAATTTAAATTAATTTTTTTACTCTTCTCATTGTCATTTTTTTTTGTTGTTTTGGTTAAATCAAAAAAAAAAAAAAAAAAAAAAAAAATTATTTGATCAAAATAGAGACATCCTGTGAATGGAATGGCAAAATATACATATGTAAATATACACAATCTCGTAGAATATAGCATTGAAGAAGAAAGGATGAAAAGAAAGAAAAAAAAATTTTCAATGTACCAGTGTAATACTTGTTGTTGTTGTTCCGGAAATCCCATTCATCATTATTTATCTGACAATTTGATTTTTTTTATACTTACTTCAATGTGAATTTCCATGTAAATTTCTTTATCATTTTTCTCTATATATATTTATTGTTCATGATTATTATTATTATTGTTCAATGAAAATTCTAGTTCAGTGTTTATGTGTGTGTGTGTGTGTGTGTGTGTGTGTGAAAGATGTACCGCTGTTTTTGTGGCCGACAAATCGGATACATTTCAACATAAGAATTATATATGAGAAAATATATTTAAAAATATTCATAAAAAACACCTCTTTAAACAAAAAAAAAAAAAAATCATTGTTAGTTGTCGGCTTTAGTTGTGTGGTTTTTTTTTTTTTTGTACTTGTACTTTTTTCTGTTTTTTTTCCTATCATATAGCTAATCTATGATGATGCTGATGATAATAATGACAATCATGGTGATGATTAACAGCTTAGCTGATGATATAGAGATTTTGTCATTTTTTTTTCGCACACATTTCATCCATATGATTATCGAAGCAGTGTACTATGGAACAAAACAAAACAAAAAAAAAAAACAACAACAACTATGATTTAGCCGGTATTCTAACTCGGAATGAATAACCAGTCTGTTAAGTCGATTATATTCAAATGAAAAAAAAATTATAATAATCCGAACAAAATCGACTAACCATGTGAATAGGAGATCAAATCGATATATATTTTAAAAAAAAATCATAATTCAGTCAGAAAAAAATGGAGAAAAAATTGCGAGAGATTCAAATTTCTACTTCAATAAAACAAAATGAAATTAAACAACAAATCAAATGGAATAAAGATGAAATCATCCTCACATCACATACATAAACATTGATACGGAACATAAAAAAATATATATATATTCGATTCGATTGAGGAATGAAAAAAAAGGTCAAAGTATTTCGGGAAAAAAACAACAACAAAAACTCTATTGATTCTCATGTTAATGATTATAATCAGCATGATACAGGTTTACCTTGAATCTAATTCTGACATGTAATTGAATACGAATACAACAGCAACAAGATTCGAATGATATCCGCTGATTGCTGTTGGCTGTTGTCAATTTTAATCGTAGTGAATTCAAACACATAATCATCATCATCATCATCATCGATAAACTATTGCAAATTGTTAAATCCATTTCAATAAAAAAACCCTATTCATAATTGCCGACAAATAGAAATGAGGAAAAAAAAGTAGGAATAGGAAACACAAAACACAAACAAGTACATTACTCGAGCAACAAGTGATTCAAAAGTGAAAAAATAGAAAGGGTAAAGAAAAATATAATTCGAAATTAACATTTACCTTTTTTTTCAGCAGAAAATTATTCTGAATTAATTATTAATTTATTGATTGTATTTGCAATATCATTTTATAGTAGTAAGACTACGTTGTTGGTGATAAATGAAACAACATTCGGAAAAAATGAATTTATTCTGCAAACATATGATTGTGTATATATATTTGTGTCAAAATACACCCTTGATGATTAATTGGGTGGAAATATCAACTGCAAATTTTTTAATCAATTCTTTTTTTTCGCTCTCGATATTTCAAATTTCAATTCATATTATTTGTCTCAGATTTCCGGTTTTTATTTATTTCATTTGATTATATGATGATAGATTGATGGAAAGAAAAAGAAAAAAATCCAACGATTGTTATCAAAAATATCGCTTTACTTGAAAATATATTTCACAAACCTTAATTATCATTATTATTTAGTTCCGAATTTTTCAAATTGAATAATTATTTTTGCGTTTTCTTGTGAAAAACACATGCAGAGAAATTGGATCCATCACCCTTGTGGCGTTTAGTAACTGATTGCCAGTGAATCTGTCAACCGATTCGAAGATAAAGATTTGATGAAAATCAACATATATCCAACCCAATGGATTTGCAGAAAAAGTGTTGAATCGAGTAAGAAAATATTAATGTTATTATTATCTGTTAATTTAAAAATCATTCATTCATCTTTGTCATTAGTTCGTTTGCTCAAAAGAAAAATCCAGCAGCGTTTTTTCTGGTTGGTGGTCTTTATTCATTCATTCATGAAAAATGAATGATGATGACTTTTAAGTCAAATATCTATATATCTGGATTAAAATTCTAAGAATCGAAAAGTGAGAATGATACATCGACCAGTATTTTGTCGATCGAAATCGATTGAAATATTTTCATTTTTTTATTTTTGATTCGATCCTCATCGATTTTTAATCAACAATTTTTTTCCTGCTCTCGAATTTCATTATCATCATACTCACCTCACAATCTTCAACATAGTTTAGATTGAATTTTGTTTTGGTCGATATAAAATGTACCAAAAACCTGATAACGATAAAATTCCCGTGTATATAAGATTCGATAGTATTTGACAGCCTGAAATTGGAGCAAAAAAAGCCGAAAAAACATCTAATCACACTCACACACCACATACATATAAACATGTACATGCATTACATCTCCAAAAGTGCATTTCATAGCAAAAAAGAAAGATAAATAACTAAAGAAAACATGATTGAATAAGAAATTTTAATGAATTTTAATTTTCAGAAAGCTAAGCATTCAAAGAGCTAATGGAATTCGCTTTAAACAGGTGTATGTGTAGCCTTGATGTTGATAAATAGATAATAAAGATCTAATTTGCTTTATGGCCAACACACACACATGTGTATATATTTCGTTTATGTTTTCAATCCAAGATTTAAGATCTGTTAATATTTGGAAATGAATGTTTTTTGGTGACATTTCGCAATCAATTAACACACACACACACACACACACACGCTGATATAAGAAAAAAACCCTTTGCATTTACACACGTCAACCAAAATGATGAATTGACAAGATTGTCACAAAATAAGACATGTATTGAATTAATTATTCTACATAGAAAAATATTGTCGATTGAAATATATTGAAATTGGTTCTTATTAAGCTCAAGTTCAATTTCCACTTTAAATGAATAAGATAAACAGTTGTGTGCTCAGACATATTCATTTGTTGCAATCATCCTCATAATGGATGGAATTCTAATGAATAAAATGGTAACGGAATGTGAGGAAAACCACAAAAGAAAAAACGATGGAAACAAAAACGACAATGATTTATGACTGATGCAAAATCAACAAAACAAACCACTAGATATAAAAAAAACCGGACCAAATTAAATGACACGATTTTGGGATTGGCACTTCAATTAGATTTTATTCATTCGTCTATCCTTCCATCCATCCATCCATCCATTCATCCATTCAATTCATTTCATTTAATTTGGCCGAAAATTTTAATTTTCCCTTTTCCAAATTTCAGATTTCTAATATTTTATCCGGTTAGAGAAACAAAGAAATGAAATGAAAAAAAAAAGAAATAACAAGGTTTGTCATTGAATGATGCAAAAGAATTGTAATTGTACATACAAATGAATGAACAACAACAACAACAAAATTCGTTATACGTTCCACCATTTTTTTGTTTCGTAGTTTTGTTTCTTCACATTTCCATCACATCTGTGTGTGTGTGTATACAAAGTGATTTTCATGGTATTTTTTCCCCTTTATTTATATCTCATATAGTTAAAAATTCAGATTAACAATATACAGACACGAAATGAATTTTCCACATTTTATTATTCGTTTGAAGCGATTTATTTTTTTTTATTCGTTTTCAATGAAAAAATTTTTTGTTATCAACCTTGATATTAATTAGGTTGAATATCATGAATTTATCATTTGATTATCATTATTATTTTCTGAATATCTATAAAAACTAGGCTAGATCTTCCATAGAATGAAAGAAATTTTCCATCTGAAGTAGAGGTCTTTTGTATTTGTTTCGTCAACCGAATTCATTTCCATTCTTTTCTTTGGAAAGTGAAACACCACCATTTCTTAATCATTCAAATAAGCTTTTTTGTATTTATCAAAAAAAAAAATAAGGTGGGTATCCTTATTATTATCATTATCATATTTGACATTAATTCTAATTTTGGGCGACAATTGTAGTCATCATCATGGTCGTCATCAAGATTACAAATTTTATTTTTTGGTTATATTTGGTTGATAACAAGATCAACCAAGTAAATGAATGATGACCGAATTAGAGACAATTTGAGATCAACCCGTATGAAACAATGGGACATTGACTTTAGGCTTGTGTCAGTCTTTGTTTCAATATGCAAAAAGAGAGAGAGAGAGACTGATTCATGGCCCAAGATAAATAACAATAAATTCAACCCTCCAAGTGTTATTTTTCCATCCTTGAAATTTTCTTCATCTCATTTCATTTATTTGTCATTACTTATTATTGTACACAAAATACACGTTTATAATTTTAGGCGCGACCTAAAATTAACTGTTGTCAAACAGTGAATATTCTCCATGATACTTTCTTTTTTGATGATGATAATGGACACAATCATTATTCTTTTTTTTTATCAACGTGTTTTATTAATTAGATTAACATTACCATCATTTCAAACTGGATGAAAAAGAAAACTTTTATTTTTTTCTTTTAAATTTATCCAATGTGAATTCTATAAAAACTTGATCTCGGATTTTACCTGTTCGTTACCAATATTCGAATAAAACAGAACCAAAATAAGAAAAATAATCACGAAAAAATCATCAAATAATCGATTAATTTTGTTGTTTAAAGAAAAAAAAAATGTAAACGATGTACATTTATAATATTTTTTTTATTTATGTCCAATGTATATCCGGTTTACTTTGGTTGCTGTTGCTCTTTTTTTTCTGTTTCATTTTTCAATTGAAAATTCATCATTGAAATATTTCAACAGCTAAATGCAACAATTGATTTGAATTTTTTTTTCTTTTCCACATTTCAAACAAATAGACAGAGACAAACGATTTAAAATGACATTCTCGTGATGATGATCCTGATCACTCAAAAAAAAAAAAAAAAAATTTCGTGTTCTTTTGTATGTTGTTTGTTAAATACGTAAACTAATATGAAGCAGCAGCAGCAGCTCAAAGTATCATTTGAACACGAATTTTGCGAGGCAAAAAAAAAAATCATAAAATGCAACCATCCTGAACATGAGCACGAATAAATTGTTCCTCTCTCTCTCTCTATCTATCTTTTGGCTTTTTGTATTAGAATTGAATTAGGAAATTTTGTGAATAAAGTAATTCTTTGCACGGCTACTACACTACCATGTCTTAATGTTTTAGGTTTTTTGCACTCTGAATCCATTCAAACCGTCAGTCTAATTTCGTTTTTTTTTCACTTTGACATTCATTTATTTCCGATTAATTAATAACAACATTAATGACCATTGGATACGACAGGATTTTCCGGTTCACAAATCAGGCGTTGATTTTCTTTCTTTTTTTTTGGTTTTGTAAATTATACTCTGTCTTACATCATTATATCGAGAGGATTGTTCAGCAGCTACAAACAAACAAAAAAAAAAAAGCAATAATATAACGAAAACCTACGCCCTGATTTTTATGATATTTAAATGTATAACATACAACTAAATGAAAATCATTATAGAGCAAAAAAATAAAAATAAAAACGATTACAATCATTTCATTCAAAGCCAAACCTACATCAGTCCTTCGGACAGGTTGCTCTTGTTTACAACAACAACAACAATGGCCAAAATCAACGGGAAAAAATGGTTCGTTGTTCTTTGTCGTTTTCTTTTCTCTTTTTCCCGATATAAATGGCTGATCTATTTTTTTTTTTGATCATTCAAGGATTTCACAGCACAAAAAAACCTATAAAAACAAAGATCATATATTTTGATGGAGAAAATTTGAATATGAAATCGAAAAAAAAATTCCAAATTATATCGAGATTTTTAATTGAATTGAGAATAAAAACAAAAATTAATCGACACACATGCTGCCATCTGTGAGCGATCGTTTTCATATAATAAATAAGAACGGATTAATCAGCAATTTTTTTTCTGTCTTTTCGAGTATTTTCGTCCTTGATTCATTATCGATCGATTATTGTAATTGTAATTATTATCACTTTGTAAATGATAACAAATCCATTGTATTAATTCATTTTGTTCAATTCGTAATATATTGATTTTACATTCCAATCGGTTGATTATGGTATGAAGATAATCTCTTTCAACACGATATGATTCCATTATTGATTGTTCAATACGTTGTTGAAAGCCAGTATTATCATTTGGCGTAATATATGGTGCCATTAAATATGCATAACGTTCATAAATTGATCGAAATGTTGGACATATCCATGATTTACCATTTGCATCAATACTGTTCTGGTCCATTCATTCAAATAAGATACAATCAACTGTTTCAGATGTGGATGCAAAACAATACAAAAAGAAAACAATAATAATCGATTATCAACGAGTGAAACAAAAAAAAAATTTTTTTGGGCCACGATATAATATAATGTTTTATGAAACAATAAAAATTTCTGCCATATATATAAAATTTACGTTTCGAACACAAATTCTATTGTTATTTTATTATCATGTTCGAAATGTATTTCATTGTTTTTTTTGTTATATCGTTTTATTCACCGAAAAAATTGTTTTCATCATATCATCATCATCATCATCATCATCATATTGAGATTGGTTATTCAATCAATCTTGTTGTTTATGCAACAGGTGTTTTTTTTCCTACCAAAGATAACATCAAATCTGATCAAATTAGATAAGGTGAACGAAATTCATGTTATTTTCTATGTGTGATATATGATGTAAAACATATCCATCCATCCATGTTGTATATATATGTGTTGTAAGTAGGTAAGTAAGTTTACATCATTTTAATAATCTGCATTCATTCATTATTCGTTGTTTGTTTTTTTTTGAAACAGATTTTTCTTTTTTTTTTTTGGACAGAAAAAAATTAAATATTTTTTTCCAATCTCATGATCTAGATTGAAAGAAGTAAATTTTCTCTACAAAACATACCAATCCATTCCAATGATAATAATAATAACCATCATTATAATTATATTATTATAGGATATGGCAATGAATCAAATTGGAGCAAATATATCAAGACTGGACAAGCAATTGTAAAGTAAGAAACAACATTTTGAATGGGAACTATGTTTGTATGTCTTTTTTTTGTATTCGAATGTAGAGTGCTCTATAATGATTCGGGCGTAACGTTCAATTTTCTCATCCATTCATTTCTTCATTCCGATCTTTTGAATGATTGAAATGTGGATGAATGGTGAGGTGAATACGATCGAATATAACATATATATTATATAAGGCGTCAGGCGTCAATAAAAGAGAACATAGATATATATACTCACACACACACACACACATAGATGGATAGATACAGAGCAAATTGTAAATGTGAGAAACAACAGACAAATACACACACACACACACACACATAGATAACTACCGATAGAGACTAAGGAGAGGGATTTACAATTATATATTACCGAATGCATAACATGAAAAATTTTGGCCCATCCTTCTCAATCCAAATAATCATCCCGATGATGATGATGATGATGATGATGATTGAAACGAGATAATGAAATCATTTTAATAATACAAATCATCATCATCATCATAATCGTAGAATTAGCCGCACCGTTATTTTTTTTTTTCGTTGTTCATAATTGTTTTTTTTTGTTCACAAAAAAAATAATTTTCTTGTATTTCAAATAGATTATGATATGATGATGTTTAAAATGATAAATTTACTAAACAAAAAAAAATTTTTTTTTATATTCAATTCAATTGGGTCAATTACATCCTATTCAATTATACAATCGATGATGATGATGATAATAATAATGGATACATTTGTAATTATAATTATGCGGTTTCATTCATTCATTCATTCAATCATTTATTTACCCATTTAACAGTTTAATTTTCGGTTAAAGTTTCTTATTCTTTTCTTTTCACATATTCGATAACGAATCATCATCATTTATATATGATTGTATAAATGGGCTAAGAAAAAATTGATTAAAAATTAAAATTAGTGGTTCTTTTCTTGTTTTGATTTTTCATTCAATTGGAAATTTTTCTTTATGATTCATTTTCTATATTATAATACTACTATGGTAGACCCTGTAATTATATCATTTCAATTCATTTGGTTTTGTTTTATCCACTTTAAACAATTAAGTTTATCACTAAAATTTTTCGAATGATAATATTTTCTTCATTATTTTAAATCTATTAATAATTCAATACGAAAAATTCATTCATGATGATAGCACGACATACACACATATATATAATATAATAAATTAATTAAGTCATTACAAATAGATAAATCACAAAATGTATTGTGGCATAAATCACCAATATCGTTTTATATGGGATTGTCTCGATTTTTGTTTCTTTGCAAAACGAATAACCGTTATTATTAGGTAGTAGAACAATAATAACAACGACAAGCCCATCCAATTTTTTTTTGTAATCATGGTAAGAAGAAGAAAAATTTTTGATTTTAAATTCCATTTTATTTTTTCTAATTAATCTTCTTTTATATATTTTCTTTAGTGAACAATTTAATGATGATGATGATGATATTAATAAGACTGATACATGATTGTATGTGTGTGGCCCTTGTTTTTTTTACCGTTTGATTTATACCGATTTTGTGATTTATTTCCATAATTGGTGGTGGATCCCATTACCATAAAGTCTGTATGCCCCAACAGATAATGCTTCATTTTCAATGACAATAGTGTGTCAAAATATTTTTTTTTTACATTATCCGCGCACTGTACACCGGACTTTAGGGTATTTTTGACCATTCATTCTTTCATTCATATTTTTTTTAAACAAGTCAATCAAACCTCATAAAGGAGATGAAATATTAGACATGGAAAAAAATCAAATCAAAATTATTGCTGCTGCTGCTGCTGGTGGTGGTGAATGTAATGAGAAATGAATAAAATTTTGTTACTGGACTAAATGCGATTGTTAGTTGATGATGATGGATGTCATTTATTCATTTCATTCATCTTGTAATTTTTTTGGGTCGAATTTTTTTCATGTCTGACATCAATTTTTTTTCATTCATTCATTCATTTCGTTCATCCGTTCATTTCATTTCATTTCATTCATGAAAATAAAGAAAAAAAAATTCGGACATTTCTCTGTTTTTTTTATTTGCTGTCTTTCGAGTTTAATATTTATTTTTTCTTTTTTTTTTGGTGAACCAATCATCATCAATATATATATGATTTGATTTCTTTTTCTTTGTGTGTGTGTGTGTGCCTATGCTCTTTTTTTTACGTAGCTAAACATATTTCAAATGGAAAAAAAGTTGATTTTTTTTTCTTTTATTCCATCAACAACAATTCAACTATTTGCTAACATAGATGTGAATCAAGAATAGATATGGAAATTTATGATTTCTGAAAATTGTATGCATCATGTATATGTTGATGATGATGATGATGATTTCCATTTTCATTTCTGATCCATCCATTGACATGCATGATCTATATGGTTTTTCATTTTTTTTTCTTTTTTTTTTTTTTGTGATGATTGGCTTCCAAGCAATCTCCAGCCGGTTTTTTGTTTGATCATGTTTCCGCTCATCATCATCAAAAATTATCATATATACAATTTTCGATATTCATTCGTTGGTTCATCAAAAAAAAAAACGAATATGAATGTGTTTTGATTCCTTTTGAATCTAGATTAGAGGGTTGTTTATTTGATCGGAATTATCATTTTACATAAATCACAACAACAACAACAACAACATCTAAACATGATTATTATACATTATCAACCTGAGAATTTTTTTTTATTTCATTCACACACATAACAACAACAACATTTCAGCTATAAGCTTTTCAATGATACACACACACACAGCATGAAAGCGATATAAATATCAATTATATATGAGCAACAAAAAAAATGAATATGAATCGAATGAAATGATGTAAAAGAAAAAAAAATGTATAGAATGTCATACACAATGAATGAATTTCTTAAACGAAAAGGGAGAGGATAAAACAGAACAACAACAACAAAAATTTAAGAAACAAACACGAGCCGGAGATGAATGATTTAAATGATGTCCAACAACAACAACAACAAATGAAACAAGCAAAAAAAAAAATTCGCTGCCAATATTTCTACATTTTTTTTTTTTTTTTTGATTCAAGACAGAAAATTCAAAACTCTATTATTACAGATTATGTATTCATAATGTGGTTAAACTGTATAGTTATATATCAAATGATGATGATGATGATGATGATAATGGTGGTCAAACTCGATCATCGTTTTTCATCATGTTTATTCGTGTTATCTGTGTTGTTGTCGCGTTTGTTATATCATCATCATGTTCGTCATTGCATAGGTTTAATGTGCAAGTCACGAACGATAAATCTTATGCAACACGCGAGCATTTTGTTTTTTTTTTTTTGTGTCTGTCCAGAAATTCATCATTTTGTTTCTGTAAAACTTTTTCTTGTTCTACGTTGTTCATGTATATGTGTAAGCATCTAAAATATACAAAATAGAAATAGTTTGATTGAATTAAATCATATCAAATCACTGGCATTTGTCTTGTTCATTTGTTCATTATTTAAAAGAAGCTGGTGATGTATTGTGTTCAACACACACTTGATGATGAAATACAATTTATCGGTTTTTTTTATTTTGTTATTCAAAATATTTCAGTTCAATATTTTTCTCATTATTCCAATGTTATTACATAGAGCAATTATAATTGATAATGATAATAATGAAGAAATATTGATAACCAAAACAAGATAACCTGTTAATTTGATATTCAGTTGTGAAGAATTGATTTTTCATACCGATCATCTTAAATTGCGAATATCATGAATGATTGTTTTTTGTTTTTTCCATCGAAAAGGATGTGAGGGTTTTGGTCATGGATTAATAATGACCAAAATCCTATCAATAGACAATGATGATGATGATGATGTAATATGAAACTAATAGCTCAATCAATTAGCCATCTTTTTTTCCTTTCTTCTTTAATCATTTTATCCTTTTGTAATTGGATATGTTACAAAAAAAAGAATTTAATTTTTTACTTAAACAGAATCATAAATTTCATAAAATTAATCAAGTCCGAACGTTTTAAAGAAAAATCAATGCTTGAGGTCACCAATATGTAACATCACCACACAGCTAATAAAACGGTTGTGAAATATAATAATTCAGTTGTGTGTTTAATTTCAATGAAGAAAATGATGATGACCATCAGAAAAAGTTCACGAAAAAAAAAATTCATCAACTGTTTACGGGTTTTCGTGGTATTTCGTCTTCCATATTTCCTTACTTTTTTTTGCCGACAAATGATGATGATAATAATAATATAGCTCAAAATCATTTTTGCTATATTCTCGTTCTTTACCATTAAAACTAAATTAGATTATACTCATAATGATTCATTTATTATATTGCATGATATGGACCAACATCGTGATGATTATTCTGCTCTAACCTTTTCATATATGATATTGAATGAATGGATGATTTTTTTTGTTGTTGTTGTTGTTGTTGTTACTATCCTTTTAAATTTTGGCTTGGAAAAAAACGTGTACTGATAATTGAAATTTTTGTTGTTGTTGTTGTTGTTATACATCTGAACCACAAAATATAATGATAATAATCGATTTTATCCATATAAGTCTGTGTGTGTGTGTGTGGCCACATATTGATTGAGATATTCATTGAACTTACACACATTCACGGTATCAAGATTCTTAAATATTTTATTTTTCAATTATTAATCGTTTTTTTTCAATTTAGATCCGGTTTTTTATGAACTGATCGCGTTTGGTTTTTTTTTCTTGTTTTGATTGAAAATCGATCGATCAACATGGCAACACTTTCGATTCGAAACTATTAAAATAAAATATGATCGTGTTTTTTTCGCGTCTGAAAGGGATGAAAAATGTTTTTTTTCTCTGTTTTAGTTTACAAATAGGCATCAATTCATAGCTGCGAATTCATGTGATGTAATATTATTATTTAACTTTTCAATTATCAATATTTTAACCTGAATGAATGAATCGAAAATGATTAATGAAGTTTTTCCATTGATTTTTGTATCATTTATTTTCGTTAAAATTATGTTTTTTTTTTTTTTTTTTCAATGTTTTTGGGCAATATATTCAATTTCTTGTTTGTTTGGCTTTAATGAGCCAAACAAACAGTCATAATGAAGATTTTGAAATGAAGATATGAAGATCGTATGATGACCATGTATGTTACGATGTTTTCTTTATGATGATGAATAAACATAATGATGATAGAACGTGATTACTTCATTTTTTTTCAACAAAAAATATTATACAGAAATCATTTCAGTTGTAAATGATCAATTGTCCAGTATTTTATTGTTTCCGTGATTCTTGACATTTAATTCTCAACATTGAACAGCGAATCTTGTCCATATCATTGCCTTTTTATCTGTTCATCTTATATTTATTTATACTTGAATTTATTTTGATAACTTAATTATCTGGTAGCCGAAAAAAAAATCACATCATTTTCTCAAATTGTCTCTGTATGCCATTTTCTTTGGTTGATTCAGTTTTTTTTCTCCATCCGAGTTCAAAGAATGAAATTAACAATTGGACTTTGCCCATTTTTTTTCCACTCATTCATTTAGATATTGTTCTTTCTATAAATATAATCTCAATCCATAATATTAGATTTGTGTGTAGACACGCGCTACATCTAATTTCAAAAAAAAAAATTTTTGCCTATTTTCAATTCAAAATTTTTTTTTTATTTGACCTCAGCTATTATACGATTAATGATGATTTAGGATATGGATACAATAGATGTTCATTCATTCATTTTTTTTTGTTCGACCCGAACTGATACTGATGATGATGATGATGATGAAGATAACCGGACAGTGAAAGAAATATGGAAGTATTATGGAAAGAAAAAAAAATCTTGAACATAAAATGGACAAAATTAGATTTTCTTCCATCTCTCTCTCTCTCACACATACTCATAAAGTATCATTTTTGACAGCTATACACAAGATTGAGTTTGATAAACTAAATTTTTTTTTCTTCTGTTCATCATCATCATCATCATCATTCGTTTGTCTCGAACTGATCCATCTGTCCATATATGAGTTTTTTTTTATTCTTTTCTTTTTGGTCATTGTTACCATTAGTAGTAGTTGTAATAGTAAATAGTAGACCCTCGAATATAAATGTGATGAAAAGCGATTCATTTCATTTTTTTTTATTTGGATTTTTTTTTCTAATTCATTCATTTTTCATATTCATCCAGGTTAATGGTTGATTATGGTTTGAATACTGCAAAAATTTAATGCATTTCATTTTATTCTTTTTTTTATCATCTCAACAAAACAAAAATAAAATAACAGAAGAACAAAAATGAACTATACTTGTTCAATAACCATCGACCAGCAAAAAAAAAAAAAAAAAATAAAATAAAATAAACTTTTTCATCATCTTCTGGATAATCTGAAATGATATTTAGAATTATTGGCCATTATTCGTCAATTTTTATCTTTCACCATTTGGATTATGATTATTTTTTTTCTATCAAATGGAATTATAAAAAAAACTCATTATTGAAAAAATAGAAATTCGAATCGATTCAAGAAAAAACATTTTCTTTCTTCTTGAAGAATGTTCTTTAGCTGGATTTTGTTGTTATTGTTGTTGTTGTTGTTGATGTACTTGCTCGCAATATGTGATTAGATATCAGATCATCAACAAAAAAAAAAAAAAACTTACAATATACAGATCATCATCATCATCATCAACGATAACAATACTGTGTGTGTCGTTCAATAATGATCATCATCGGTGGTAATGATTGATGATGATCCATCCAAAAGTCGATGATTTTCATCATCGAATTAAATTTGTTTTCAATCACCTATTTATGTAAGTCTATCTTTCATTCTTTTTTTCCATTCATTTCAACAATACGAACGATTCTTCGAATCGGATAAGAAAAAAAAAAATAAAACGATAAAGTTGAGTCTTAAATACATAGGATTTTAATGTACAATTTGTTGATGGGGATAAAAAAAAATCATAATACTAGATGATCTATAATAATAAAAAATGATAATGATCGCACACAATTGATCATCATTAACGATTAAATGATGACATATCATACAACAGGTGATTTAAACGAGTAGTGAGACAATAAATACGGAAATAAATTGTCTATTTTTATATTTTCAAATGGATAAGAGTTATTCTTATTTTTATCACAATGGATTGAATGAGTTTTCTGTTCCATTCATCGTGACATAAAAATCAGTGATCATTTTATAAAATCAAAATTTTTTTTTAATCATGATCAACAACAAGTTTATATCGTTAATAAATTATAAAATAATTTCATTTTTATAACTTCGATTAATTTCTTTGTAAGGTAATACAACTGAATTCAATATGATAATTTCTGATGTAACCCTTACATTACAACCTAAAACCGTAATTAATGGATTAAGTTTTCCATCACAATCGAATAATGGAAGATTTTCCATTTTGGAATAGGCACGATTAGGATTTGGATCACAAGGTGTTCCTTCTACACGAGACCATGTACCAATGGCACAATTCCATCCAAGCACTGAATACATGATCAATGAATGATTTTTAACGGTTACATTTTTCAATATAATTGATTCTTTTATGCGAACACCGGCACCAATTTTGACACCTTCGCTTATGCTTACGTTTGGACCAATCTATAAAATTAAAAACAACTACTATAAATTATTGATTACGATATAATTTAAATTCAATTACCCTGGCTGTCGGATCTATAACAGCTGTTGGATCAATATATACATCGCCAATGATTGTAGGACCATTTCCACTGGGTTCGGTTGAACTCAATAATTCTGGATTAAATTTTCGATATGTTGAAAGATAATGTCGATTAGCATAAATGGCTGAACTGGGTGTTTTTATCGGACTCCACCAGAAATGTTCTTTTTGATGGAAAATGTAAATTTTTTTCGATTCAAATAAACGTTTGAAAACATCATATTCCAAACTAATGGCATCCGAATGAGCACGATTCATTGATGTTGTATCCATATTGAGAATATCGACATCATTCATATTTGATTCATGTTTCTCTTTGAAAACCGATGATAGATAACTTAAAAGTCCGGTTGAAAATATGTATACACCACAATTAATTGTCGTACTAACAAATGATCCAGGTTTTTCAACATAATGCAACATTTCATGCGTATCCGGATCTTCCACAATACATCCTATATAAAAATTTCATTAGAAGACATTTAAAATCTATGAAAGTTAAATCAGACTATTTACTAACCATACTCGAGTGATTGTTGACGTGTAGCTTCTGTTGCCATGATTGTAATTAATTTATCCGAATGTGGAATATGACGATGAAAATGCAACATTGAATCAAGATTAAAATTTCCACAAACATCACTATTAATGAGAAATACAGCTTCTGGATCTCCCAAGCGGATCATATCACGGAAATGATAGATACCACCAGCCGTGCCTAGTGGGGTGTACTCTTGTAAATATCGGATACTAATCTGATATTTCAATGTCATTGATTGAATAAATTCGGTAAAAGCATCATCCAGTTGATAGAATCCAATCAATAGAATTTCTTTCATTTTTGGAACTTGAATACATGCTTTAATCAAATGTTCGATCATCGGTAAACCGGCAATTGGAAACAATGGTTTTGGAGAATTGAAAGATAATGGACGAAATCTGGTACCTAAATTTGGATAAATTTTATCTAATCAATCTGTTTTAATCCATTCAGAACAAACCTTTTTGTGGACCACCAACAATTATTACAGCTTTAATCATCTTTGCAATTTGCAAATAATAAATTCACAAGAATTTCAGTTCAACAAGCTTTAAAAATTGGATGATCGACTCAATCAGAATGCTTTCGAATCGGAACACCAGATGGTAATGAATGAAAAAAATCATTGTTTTGAATGCAGTTAACTGTTGTGCCATTGAATATTGCTTATGTTGCTTTTTTTTTGTTTTCATCGACATTTTTTTCTGAATAATCAAAACTGAATTACAAAAATAACATCATAACTAATGGACGTTGATCTTTTTTCTAGTCCCGATAAAAATAATTATCGATCTATCAATACACGGACACCGGGATCGAGTGCGAAAAAACGGAATCTTAGATCACTATTCAAGCAACAATCACAAATAAAATCCCCACAATGGTTCAACAACTATCGTGATGTATTTGATGATTGATACTATGGTAATAAATTGATGAATAATTATTTTTATTTAACTCATTTTAAAGAGATGTTTGAATGAATGGCATAACCGAAATGAGGAAAAGCGAACAAATCTGTTTAATCGATTTCGAAAAATTCGATTGGACGAAGATTCTGGTGTTGATCAAAAAGTTTCCATCCAACAAATGATGAATGATATTTGGATTGAAATGAATGGTTCAACTATCGATCACGATGAAATGATTGAATATTATGAACAATTTCTTCAACCTTTGGAACAGGAACTAAATGAAATGAATTATGGGCATCCAGATGAGAGTGATGCACTTGAATTGGAAGATATGTTTAATAATCGATACCAAATCACTTGTATGCTTTGTTGTCGTGCAATATTGGTATTTGGACATCAACAAGAATCCACAATCATTAAGTGTTCGAATTGTGGATTCACATTGATATCTCGACTAACATTCAGCGAAGAGCAATTATTTGATCGAATTGATGACCTATTGAACCAACATGATTATGGTTCAAATACGGCTGAAAAATATTATCGATGTATTGAAAAAATAAAATTTTCACCTATTGCTGCCGAAACGGATAATTCGTGTCAAAATATTCAACTAAAATGCAATGTAAGTGTGATAATATTGATTTTGAAATATATAAAAGATTATTATTATTGTTATTTTTTTTTTACATCCATATTTAGTCTTGCGATTTTGATGCATTATTGTTATGATGATCAACATTATCCAAATCAACGATAATCAGAGACTAATCCATAAATTGGCTAATTAATTCAGGCATTGTATTCGATAAATAATTACAAAAACACCACCAAATTAAGATATACGTTATTAAATTTGTTAAACAAATTATCCAGAATAATCCCAAATTACATTTTATGATGAATGTTTGCCAGAATTTTGATTTAAAATGACCATATAATCGATCATGATATTGAATTGAATTGATTAGATGTTTTTGAAATTTGTATAAAATATCTTGATTGAACAATGTGGATAATTGAAAAAATCCAAAAAATATCAGATAAATTATTAAACTGGTGATTTTCCATTGAAATGTAATGCATTTTAATGCAGTAAATTGAAGGAAAAGTTTGAAAATCCTATATTATTGTGGAAGTAGTAATCAAAAAAAAAAAAAAAAAAAATGAAAAGAATTTTCATTTCTCATATATATGAACTTACTCAAAAATTATGTCGAAAAATACAATTTTTAACTTGATCAATTTACTTCGTATTCGATTATTGATGCCATCATTTTTTTCCGATGAAATGATCCAAAGTTTATGTTCAATCAATAAACATTGTTGATTATGAAGACATACGGGATTTTCTTGTCGACTTTTCAATTTATTATTATTATTATATTATTATATCGATCATTAAATTTTAAGGCAATGATTTCGAAACAAAAATGTAATTGGATCAATATATAACCTATTTGTAATGTAAATGTTGTAACCAGAAAAAATATTGTTACCAATAATAATTGTGGTTCAATATGATTGGCATACATTTTTTCTGAAAAAAAATTCCATTGAACCTTGGATTTTATCGGAATTTTTTTTTTCATTTCATATTTGTTTAATTAATAATTAATAATATTTGATTTGCACAACAACAACAACAACAACGCTACAAAAAACAAAAAAAAAAAAAAAATTTGTAATGAATAAATGAATGTTTATTTTTTATTTCTTAACACATTCAATGACGATTATTAATTCTAGACTGATCTTTGATCACCTGTTTTCAACGTTCGGAAAAAAAGATCGATCGATTTGGCTATGTCGCAATATAATGATGAATCATCATCATCATCATTGACCTCCCATGGAAAAAAACAACAAAAATCTCATGGAATAAATTATCAACCAAAATAATCTGTAATTTTTTCAATTTCAATGTTGTTGATCCAAAAAAAAAAAAATTCCAAGAAAATTTATTTCCTAAGACGTCAATGATTTGACAACAATCTTATGATAAATAGATAAAAAAAAATTTTTTTAAATTTGTTTTTATTCTCATTGTTGGCGTCCATTTGTCTACGATGTGTGTGTGTTTGTGTAAAGTACATTTTTTTTTGTTTTAGTTCCTGATTTAATTCATTGCATACATCAAGATCATTTGTCCATCATAGACAATCATCATTGATTTATTTATCAATCATGAATCTAAATGTCAATGTCACTGCCAATGATTTTTTTAATTAGAAATCAAGGAATTTCAAAATCATGAATCATCGAATGAATCGATTAATCTTATGATGATCAAGGTTTGATCATTACCTTGATGGCCACCAGTGGCCACCACCATCATCACTAACACCACCACCACCAAACCACCACCACCACTACCCTTTTTCATGACCCCTAGGGCGTTATTTTCAATTTCCAGTTTCATCATATATGATGATTGTGAATGATAAAAAAAAAGAATCAAAGTTGTAGCTAGAAAAAAAATGGAACAAAAAAACAAACAAAAATCGTGAAAAGAGAATCCTTTATTTCTCTATCATTTTGCAACAAAAAAAAAGAAAACAGAATCACGCATGCGTTCACTATTTATCCATTAATATTGAAATACCTGTGTTGTATGCATCTACAACGTGATATGATTTCCACTTTCAGCAACAGCAGGCAGTCATATATATATATATGTAAATATACACCCTTGTTATCAAAATATATACAGCTACATTTTGAAAATTGTAACAGCATAAAAAAATGAATGGATGTTATGAATATGGCATAAACATCTGGATGCGTGTGCGCATTGTTTTTGTTGTTTTTTGTGTATAAACATTTATATATTCATTCTATTTAACACATAGAAACAACAACAACAACAACAAAAACAGAAACTCTGTTCTGTTTACCATTGGTTTCGAGATGGCTGGCTGGCTGGCTGGTTGGTTGATGGATCATTTTTTTCTTTTATTATTACTTTTTTTGGTTGATTGAGTGAATCCTGAATCCTGACTATTTTTTTTTTATTTTTCTCATATTTATTCGTTCAACAATTTTTGTTTTTATTTGGTGGATAACAATTTTTTTTTCTATTCACTGTACTTTGGCTCTTTTCATCATTAGTGTGTAGTAGTGGTGGCTGTGGTATTGGTTTTGTAGTTTGATTTTTTTTTTTATTCAATTTGATTGTTAAACACACAAAAAAAAGGAAAAAAATACATAACAGAAACATACAATACACTGCAGTGTGTGTGTGTGTGTTTTGAAAACAACATTGACAACAACGACAACATCATCATCATGCAAAAAACGAAATTATTTTTATTTCTGGTATATTTCGTCGTAGCGTAGTTTATTTATACGCGTTTTATTTTGTTGTTTGGATTGATTTTTTTTCTGAACCATAATCATCATCATTCGATTTGTGTTGATGAATTTTGAAAATATTTGATTTGAATTCAACGAACACACACACAATCAACTTTGATTGAAAACAACATCAACCATAACGAGAAAAAAAAACGATTTGCTGATTTTTTTTTATATTAAATTCAAAAAATTATAAATTGTGATATCCATTCATTTATTTTGTGTCTCAATAAATCATCTCATCATCATCATCATCTAAATTGTGATCTCGATTCTAATCTTGTCAACAACAACAACAATAATAACGACAACAACAACAAAAAAAAATACAAACAAAAAAAAATCAAATTATCTCATTTTATCAAACGCCATCGTCATCATCATCATCATATATATTAATATAATAATCACCTGATTCATTCACATTTACTACGAAGCATTTATTATTGAAAAAAAAATTCACTTGAAGATATAAACAAACAAAAAAATACTTAAACAGAATTTGAACTACTGAAAATTTTTTTTACCTTTTGTTGTGATTCTGATCTCAATATATATTTCGAATTGAAAATTATTCTTTCTCATTGATGTTTGATGGTCTTGTTCTTGTCTCTCTCTCACTCTCATTGATTTCTATAAGAATTTTTGTTCTTTCTTTCTCAAATAAAAATCAAACTTGAATCATCAAGAAAAAAGAAGCTCATGTCTCTTCATAAACAAGATTCTATAAAAAAAAATTTTAAATCAATTTTGCCATAAAAAAGTCATTGCTTTTTTCATCATTAAAAATTATAATAATAATTATCCACTACCAAAAGTTTATGGTTTTTATCTGTTCGTTGGCCTTTTTTTCTGATCACACATACATTTTAACCATTGTGAATTATCATCATTATAATCAGAAAAATCAAAAAAGAATCATTGAACATTTATCGTTCGTTAATTTGTCACCAAGAAAAAAGGTAATGGCGTCATTCTTTTTTTTTCTTTTTCTTATTGATACTATGATTTACGATTTGTTTATCATCATCATTTCTGTTATTATTATTATTTGAGTTGATTATTGTTTCCAAGGGAATTTTGTAATTGAAAATTTATTTTGATTTTCTATTTACCATTTTTTTCCCCATGGCATTAATATAAACCCCGGACAGGCGAACTTATCAATTTGACAACAAGATTCTATGAATATCGATACCTATTTTTTCTCTCTCTCTACTTGATTACTATGGATGTTGCATGACAACAACAACAACAACAACAAGAAAAAAATCAACTCCATCCTCGATCACGATCACCATCATCATCATTAACCATTAATGACAACAACATTTTCAACATCATGGATGTATATTGATTGATTGATTGATTGATGTCATACACAAATACACAAATAAATGACAGACATAAATACAAACACATAGTCGAATGTAAAAACAAAAAAAAAATTGAAACTATCCCTTTACTATCAAAGTCCCCTGTACTGTATTGTTCGATCGATATATATCGATTATCGCGAACGATAAATAAACAAATGATTGCCCATTACCCAAAAAAAAAAAATTAATGACGATCATCCAAATGTAATCACAAATTTGTGATCAAAGATTGAATATTCTGATAAACAAACACCATTTTGAGCAATTTGGATTAAAAATAAAATAAAAAAGAAACGTTTCAATGACGTTCTCATCATTATTGTCGTCGTCATCATCATCATCATCGTCTGTTCGACGTATTTTCACCATTTTATAGTAAACATCAAACAAATAAACACACACACACAATCAAAAGCTATTCCGGTGTTGAGCATATATAATAATTTTTTTATATTTATGTGATTGCATAAAACACATGGCTATAATGCCAATGATAATATATAGTCAACATTAAAATCATCATAAATATATCAATATCATTATTATCAATCGATATTTTGTTTTCATATATGTGTTGATTGATCAGATGCAGATTAATTGACAAAAAAAAACATAACCACAATAACAACAACAACAATCATCATCATCATCATCAAAAACAATGGAAACAATTGGACAATTTGAATATAATGACAAGGATTTGATTGGCCATGGTGCATTTGCTGTTGTGTATAAAGGTCGTTTTATTAATGTAAGTTTCCATTTCAATCATTGACATCATTGAATTTTTTTTTTTTTTTTTTTTTTGCAAGTGTGTTTTGTGTAGGTGTGTCTGTGTGTGAATATGTTTTCACTGTATATTGGTTATATACAGTCTATGTGTCTATTATGTTGATGATCTGATATCCAATATGGCATTGACATTCATTTTGATAATTGTCTTATCATTTTATTTCTTTTTTTTGAAATTGTAAGAAAAAACAATAACAATTATCTCTATTTTTTTTCACCATATATCCATCACAAAAGTGACAATCAGTTGATTGTTTGTTAGGAATTATCATTATCATTACAATTTATGACGCACTATGAATGTGTGTGTGTGTGTGTGTGTGTATTATTCATTATTTCATTGATCATATCTTGATTAAGATTATGACATCAATCCATCCATGATATCCTATTTGTTGTTGTTTTTTTTGGTATCATTATATATGTGTTTGCATTTAATTTACTAGGTTTAACCAGAAAGAAAAAACAAAATTCTCTGCTCGTGTGATTTTTGTTTGTTTGAATTCGTAGTAGAGATGGAGAGCAATAAACTTTGTTGTCACTATATTTTTTTATTGTATTTGTAGTGATGAAATTGAAACAATGTTGCTGAAACGAGCAAAAAATAAAACATTATGGTTATTTTATCCAGAACTTTAGCGACCCTAGTGTTCGAGTCGTTAGTTGTAAAGAACAAAAAAAAAGATTAATTCGTACGATGACTCATACACATGTACAGAATCGAGTTAGATGAATTCGATAGATAGCTACATAATATATGGCGTCACAATGTATGAGACGCTATATAATGATATTGAGAATAATATTTTGTGAAGCCATTGCCATTTCAAAATTTCCATTGGGTTCATTCACTTTTTTTTCAATTTATATCCAACAACAACAACAACAACAATGGATCTTTTTGGTTAAATTCTGGCTAATGAATAATGGCTGGGCACAAATGAAAAAAAAATGAAACACAAATTCATTTCATTTTGTTGTTCATTTGAGGTCATATAATAATCGATTATTATTTTTTTTTGTACTAGTACAAAAATCGATGATGATTGTAATTGATATTGCTTCGAGGGTATTTTTTTTGTTGCCTCTTTTTTTTTTTTTTTTTACATCCAATTATATAGGATTAATATCGATATATAATATAATATAATGGTCAACGAAAGATGGAGAGAACCAAATGAGAAGAGTATCTACACGATTTTCAATGTAATGAATGAAATTGTTTAAATGGCCATCATGTATGATGTATTTTTTTTTCTTTCGTTCGTTTCCTCGAACTTGAATCTTTCTTTTTCACATGATGAAGATAATGATGATTACCATTTTTTTTTCTTCTTACTTGAAAGATTTAACTTTCAAGCAATGGTTTGAATGGTCGATCGATTTTAGCTAGGGCCACCTTTTTTTTCTTTGTTGTTAGATACACATTGTGCCAGTTCAATACCTGACTTTTGTTTACAATATATAACTTGCTTTATTGTATGTTAGTTACCTGTTTTCCTGTGGTTGCAACCTCTATGAATATTGGACAACAACAAAAACAACAAAGACATAAATGCACCAACAAATATTCATTTTGTAAATGTTCTTTATGGCCATCATCAGGTAGCAGCAGGCAAGAAGTTTGATAGATTTCTTTTTCACTTGTATTTATCATTGAAGTTTTTGTGTGAAAAAATAATATCATACAAGCAAGAAAAGTTTTAAAAAAAATCTATTATTTGACACAAACATATGGCTGTATTGTTTGGTCTTTTTTTTCTCGATTGATTTACTCTTTCTTCTAAATACAAACCCGTAAATAGAAAATTTTAACTCATTTTTTTCATACGAATACGAACAAATGGTTTTAGAGTGAAAAAAAAATTTAAATTTACTAAAATGTCCTTCTGTTTCGATCATACACAACAATGATGTTGACGATAGCTTCTGTTCTGTGAAAGAGAGAAAGAGAGAGAGAAAAAAAAAGTTAAAGAGAAAGAATTTTTGAAACAAATTTCATTTTTATCTTTGTGAATTTTTTTTTGTTTATAAACTTTTAATGATAATTAAATTCTTGATCAATCAATTGGATGTATTCATTCAATACGTGTCCATTATTATTCCAAAAATATATTATCATTATGACCATTAAATCCTTGACAGATTCATTTTGAATTTTTTTTTCAAACCCTCATTATATAGAATGATGATGGTTAACTTGGAATACAAACAATTGTGTGTGTGTGTGCAATTTATATACAAAAATGTACATTCTTGTTGCGTGTGTGTGTATGTGTCTATTCATCACAATGCACATGATGATGATGATGATGACTTTTTCTTCTTCATCTTCATTTTTTTATGAATTATATTATATTACACATTTTAAGTATGAATCAAAATCTAGAAGAATAGTTTAGAGAAAAAAAAATGAAAAGGAAAGAGAACAACGCAAGCAAACTTTTTTTTCTGATGATTTTCAAGGTGAAACTTCCATAATAAATACTATTATCATCATCATCATCATTCGTCATAAGCAACAAGTACATTGATACACAAGTGTATTGTTGTTGTTGTGTGTGTGTGTGTGTATACAGCATGTGAACATGGATGCATATCCATTCATGCATCCAATTTTTTTCCATTCTCTCTCTCTCTTTTTTCTTCCCTTTCTTCCAAATGATCACATTAAATCTTGTTATAAATGAAAAAGAGTTGACACACTTGCCCTGTAAGTGTGTGTGTGTGTGTGTGCGTATTTGTTGTTGGATTGATTGAGGTGTGTGATTGTATATCATAATCATCATCAGATGATGGTGATTTTGTTGTATATACAGAATATAATTGTAAATATATACTTGTATAGACCAGTCTGTTCCTGTCTGAGAATCATATGTGTTGGATATATTTTGATGAATGTCAAAAATAAAAAAAAATTTCAAATTCAAATTTGCTTCTTTTTTTTTAAACACACACACACATCCGATGATTTAATATGTAATCCTTCATTGATTGAAAAATTTTATTATTCAATTATTCTTGAAATCGATTTTTTTTTCTACTACTACACCTATTTTATCACAAAATGGACAAAATACAATAGGTTATAAAATTGTTTAGAAAAAAAAAGTAAAATTCGAGGTTACAAAACAATTTTTAGATTTGTAATAATTTTCGATGTCCTTTTCGATTTTGATGATTATTTTGCATCCTTCATTCATTCACATAGATTACATTTGCCATATTTTGTATTTTGATTGATTTCCTATTTCTCTTTTTTTCCATTCTCTCTCTATCGTTTACCTTACTTGGACATGATCCAATGGCGATATATGGTGAATGTTCACTTTTTATTTTATTGTAAACATTATTATTCTGTTTGGAACATGTTTTTTTTCATGTACAAGACAGACAGACAATTGAATTTTTTTTTCTTTGTATTCGGAAATTTGTTTCATTTTTTTTTAAAATAATTTTCATATAGAAATAATGAAAATGACTATTTTGTTGTCATGTCGTTTATTCATACAAGTTGGCCCACGACCACCACCACCACCATTTGTATAGAAGGAGAAGAAATGTGTGTGTATTTTTATTATTATCATCGTCACAAATGCAATTCATTCTGTTACGCAATGAATTTCATTATTTTTATATTTTTTTTGTAATATGTTTACAAATGTTTTGTTTTCTTCATTTATTCATATAAATTCGAGCATATAATACAATTATAGATACATTTAACATCATTGCATCATTTTTTTTTTTTTTTGAGAAAAATGAAAAAAAACAATAAGGAAGGAAAATAATTTTGTGTGCGCTAAAAAAACCACCACCATCATCACCAAAACACCCACACCCTATTCGTTTACCAATTGCAAACTGAACAAGATAATAACCTATTTTCAGATACAAGTACATCATGATTCGAAAAATAATGAAAGAATAAGATATTAGATAGAGGATATAAATTTAAATTTTGTTTTTTGGAGAGAAAAAGAGAAATTTTTTTATTCAAATCTAATAAATTGAAAAATCAACTTTATTGTTGATACTATACTATTAGGGTTGTCGTCATTGTTGTTTTATATTCCTGTTATTATTACCCATTATTATTCTTCCGCATTTGAATGTTATTATTATTTCCTTTGCTGCTCTTATTATTTCATATGGCAGGCTGTGTAGCATCAATACCATCGGTAAATCGACGTTCTTTATACTCTTCTATCAATCTTGTGAGAATTTATATCAGACACATGTGAGAAAAGAGTTTCATCAAACATCGTCATCATCATCATCATCATCATCAATAATAATGATTTAAACATGTTGATCCGGTGATGATGTTGATGATGATAGTCATAGTAGTGGTTGTATAACTGGATATATATACGAATGTGGTGGATGTTTAGCTTGGCAAGTAGCATCAATTTTTTGTTGTTGTTGTTGTTGTTACTCTTGGTGCCATGTGATTGACGATATTATTATTATTATTTTGTTGAAAACAGAAATTTCAAAGAAGCCAAGAAATCATTGTTGTTGTTAGAGTTTGAGTTAGAGTTAGCTTTCATGCCTGATGGGGCTTATGACGATGTTATTTGCTTCTACCGTATTGGCATATCTGGGTTGAATCCATTAGATTCGTAACGGTTTTTTCTATTTTTTTTTTTTTGCTCAGCAAAAAAGATATTAGCCCTTGTTTAAACTCGATATATTTTGATTAATCTATTTATTTTTCTCAAGCTATTTTAGAATCTATGTTGTATATATGGGTCTTTAAGTTGTTCCTAGAATAATGATTATCTTATCTCTATGTATGACAGAATGAATGGTATATGAAATCATCATGATTTAATAAATCTATCAAATGTTTTTTTTTTGCTGTTGTTGTTTTTCTTTTTCATCGTTTGTCTGTCAAATTGAATTATACTCATAAATTAGCCATTGTTTTTTTTCCACTCAACATGAGGATTGACATTCAAACATGTCGATTTTTCTTCATTTTGACAATCATGTTTGTTGTTTATGTTTGAAAATTTTTTTTTCATGAAAAAGTAAAAGAGAGAGAGAGTGAAATAACATGTTCACCTGAAAAACACGTGCATGTTGTGGCTAATGCACCATCATCGACCATGATTAACCATGTGAATTTTGATCATAAACATGTTGTAATTAGTTGTATGAAAAAATTTCGGATGTATAAAATCCACAGTCAGTCAAATATACACGGCAATGCGAAAAAAAAGAGAAATATTTGTCAAAATTCTATGTTATTACAAATTATTTAGGTACACACACACACACACAAAAATGTACAATTTTTTTTTTTCATTCCAATCTGATCTGTGATTATGCTTTCATTTGTATCAAATTTCAAACTGAAAATATTATTACAACATTCATCATTAACAAACTCACATGTGATACTCACATGTGTTGTGTATTTAGTTTTTTAATGGGCGTAAAAAATATGAACTCATTTACAGTAGTTAATTTAATTGATGATGATAATCAACAAGTGATGATTATAATTTTTTTTTTTTTTTTGATGTCATCATCATAATAGATCTTGTTTGATAATGAAAACAGAAACAAAACTACTTGAAATCTAGTACATTTAAGCTCAAGATTGGTCTATTTATTCATTAAGAAAAATTTTTTTGAGCTTTGGTTTTCTGAATTTTTTTGTTATTCATTCTTGTAACCTGAAAATGAATAATCCGTTGAAATATACTTTGCTTGAGATTTAAATGAATATTTTACTTTATCATCCATCCATAATTTACACACATCTAAAATATCAATTGGATTATAACCGGTTTTTTCTTCTATATATTGAACTATTGATGTTTGCCGAGAGAGAGAGAGAGAGAGAGAGAGAGATTGATATGTAGTATGAAACAAGTGAAAATGAAAACCATAGTATTATGTGATAAGTAAAATATACACATTATGATGAATAGGGAGAAAAATTATTGAGAATAGGAAAAAAATGATGATGATAAAACATTCTGGTTAATACACACACACACACAATTTATAAATTGTAAACCATTGTAAACCGCTCAAACTAAACATATTAGCATGTGATACATAACCAACACACACAATCATTGTGAACGAAGCATGTGATCCATATTTTTGTCGAACGCGTGTTTCTTGTGTGTTTTGCCTTTCCGTTCATTGTTTTCATTTCTTCTTGGGGTTTTTTTTTCATTTCACATTTTTTTTACTCTCGTGATTTGTTTTAAAATGATTTCGTAATCAAATTAGATTGATAATAGTCTATGATTGAATTCGGTTAGTTTTTTTTGTGTGTGTGTGTTTGTGATTGTATCCTAGTTTTTATTTCCATTCATGTTCAAATTTCGTAATCACAATAAGGAAGATATATATTATATCTAGGTTCGATAAAGATCGATTAATGATTAAACTCTAAAAATAGTTTGATTAGTGGATGAAAGAAAAAAGTACGTTTGTACTACATTTGAGAAATTAGATCTAATTGCATGCTATATTGGATTTCAATTGCAAACAAATGTCTGTACAATCTTTCTTGTCATTAATTCACTTTTGGCTTGAAATTAATACCTAAATAAAATTTCGTCATCCTATTTTATTTTTCCCATTATATTTTAGAATCCTAAAAAAGAAGTTGCCATCAAAAGAATAACAAAGAAAAATCTATCACGTTCACAAAATTTATTGAAAAAAGAAATAAAAATTCTACAAGAATTGACTGAATTACATCATGAAAATGTTGTATGCTTATTGGATTGTAAAGAAACACCGCAATATGTTTATCTGGTCATGGAATATTGTAATGGTGGTGATTTGGCCGATTATCTTAATGCAAGTAAGTAAACATTATTCTTATATCATCATACCAAATAAAATGATAATTTATTCTTTCTTTTAAAAGCCAAACGGACATTATCAGAGAGTACGATTCGGATATTTTTACGACAAATAGGTAAGAAATGAAAAGAAAAAACGGAAAATCATCTAAATTTTTTTTTTGAATTATTAATATGAAATCTTTGTACAAAAAAGCTTTAAAAACTAAGAAAAAAAATACACATACATAATTTAAGTAATTTTATCTAAATAGATAATCGGTTCAAGTTTTATTTATCATCATAGCATATAATTGACAATTTATGTTTTTTTTTCATTCATCCTATTAGTTAGATTGAGATTTTGATAAAACACACACACACACACACATGTTATTGAACTTATATTGGCCAGATTTTGTTTCTCTCCATCCTTGTTTTTTTTAATGATCCCTTATTTGACATTTAAAAAATTAATCGATTTTTCTGTAATTTTTTATTATTATAGCTGCCGCAATGAAAGCATTGAATGCTAAAGGCGTTGTCCATCGTGATCTCAAGCCTCAGGTATAACCATCTCGTTTTTTTTTCTTTTGCCCCTTTTTTTCATTTCATTTTATGTCATTATCGTATCAAAAATTTATAAAATTTATATGTCCATAGTTATTATATTAGTTTATTGGTTAATTTAGTGACTTAATTTTTTCTCATTTTTGTTCTCTTCATTTTATTTGTTAACTTATAGAACATTCTGCTTTGTTATCAATCTGAAGATGATGGCAGAATGCCACCACCATCAACGATACAATTAAAGATTGCCGATTTTGGTTTTGCACGATTTCTTGGTGAAGGTGTCATGGCAGCTACACTTTGTGGTTCACCAATGTATATGGCTCCAGAAGGTACGTGTGTGTTTATCGTATTTTAAATCATCATACAAATGAAACACAATTGACCTCATGCACACTACATTAGAATGAAAACTCAATCCTTTTCATTCCTCTTTTTTTTACCCTTTTTCATGATATAAAATAGTTGATGATAGGAAAAAAAAAAAGATGATGACAATCTATTATATTCGGTCATTCAGTACAAACCAATTTAGTGTATCGTTTTTTTTATTTATATGCTCCTCGTATAATAATAGTATGAAAAAAACAACAACAACAACAACAACAATCTATCATAAGATATCATCAATGATGATCAACGACAACAACGAAATGATGAACCGAAATGCTATTATTATTATATTGTATAAAATATATAATCATCATCCGAATGTCATGATCATAACTTTTTCATTATTTGGCCATGTATATATCTTTTTGTCAACGATGATGTTTATTTATTGTATATATGGTAGTTATTATTATGAAAAATAATCCAATGATGATGATGATGATTTTGCATTCATAAAAATGATTATTTAGCTTCATTTTTGTTGTTTATTTAGAACTAAATAAAATGATGAATAACAAAAACAATGAAAATTTCATTTCAATTCTAAATAAAATTTAGTTTAGGTTTTGTTGTTGTTGTTGTTGTTGTTGCAAACAATAGTTATTCTAAAAGTGTGAGGAAATGATTTTCTAGATTTTTTTGGCAAATAGAAATGTTTTGGTGACATAGAACACCAAACTCACAATTTCAATGATAATTCTGGGAATAATGACATTGAATTTTTTTTTTGCTCATCTTTCATCATCTTTATAATTATTAGAATGATGATGCAATCTATTAATCAAGTTTTATGACATATATCATACGGTTATTATCAATTCCATATTTGTTTTTCGATTTTCGTTCATTGTCTTGCTTTCGATTTGAATCTGAGCCAAAAAAACAAAATTATCATCATCATCATCAAGGGGAACAAACGTTTTTGATGATGATGATGATGATGATGCTATGTCGACGTAAATGACATTATAGTTTTTATAATGATTAGATTTTATTTCCTCTGGTTTTTTTTCATTCTTGATTTAACCAATTTATCGTGTTTTTTTTGATTATATAACATGTGCACTGCACACACACGTACATAGACAATTGATTCATTTCGAATGAATAATGTTGAAAAAAAATTCACAATAATCAATTTATGATCATTCCCATATCCCCTATCCCTTTATTATTTTAATGGAACAACAATAGTGATAATGTCACAACGATATGGTGCTAAAGCTGACCTATGGTCGATTGCAACAATCATCTATCAATGTTTAACCGGACAGGCACCATTCAAGGCAAATACTCCACATGAATTAAGACATTATTATGAATCGACACCAAATTTAGCTCCAATGTAAGTGTTTTTTGTTATTTCAATTTTTTTTCTTCTTTATTTGTTTTTGTTTTTCAAAATCATATTTTTTTTGTTTTGTTTTGTTGTTAATATTCTGAACATTGAACATTGGTTTTTTTTCTTTACATATAAAAAAAAGTATCACCTAGCAACAAGTTAACGAGTTACTTGTTGTTGTTGTTGTTGTCTCGGTTGAATGAATTATCAATTGAAATGAACAGAGGAAAAATACCAACACCATCAACAACAGCGATGACAACAACAACAAAAACATTGATGTTGTTGTACACGGTTCAATGTCAGTTTATCAATATATATAGAAATATAAAAAAAAGAAGAGACGAAGAAAAAAAATCAATGTTTTGATTTGATTCCATCTGTCAAAATGATTTTTTCTCTCCCCTCATTTCTTTTCAAATCAATCGGATGTAGTCGTAGATTATTGATTATTATCAATTCATGTTGACAAAATATTAATGCAACATGTCATATAATGATAATATTGAATTTCAATATATTTGGTCATTAACAATTTTTTTATTGTTCTTGTTCAAATTCCATTAGGATACCCAAAAGCACTTCACCCCTATTAGCCGATCTTCTAACTCGATTACTACGACGAAATGCCAAAGATCGTATGGATTTTGAAGAATTTTTTTGTCATCCATTTCTAAATGAAGATACTAATCTGCCTCCAATGGTGACATATTGTGATAATAAAAATTCAAAATCCAATCAAGAGAATATAAAACCTAATTATATGAAACAGCATCAAAATTCTCGTGTAAATCGTTTAAAAGAAGAGAACAAATCTGCTAGCAGCAAAGGAATAGGAGGAGAAAGAGAAGTATCAGCTGGTTCTAGCCAAATGAAAAATTTAAAATCGAACAATATGATAACCGAATCGGAAAAGAAAGAGATTCCAAATAACAATAAAAATCGACAATCACCAAATAGCGGTGATTCGAGTGATGTCGATGATTTTGTCATGATAAATGAAGATGTAGTAGCAACGATTGTACCGCAACAAATTCCAAACACCGTAACTGGAACCATAACGACGGCAGCAGAATCTAGTCTTCCTCAAAGGATATTGAATCGAACATTGAGACCATTGGTTTCATATGCAATGCCTGAACCGGTTCCAGTACCAACACAACGTGCCGCTTATGAACAGATACAACGTTCAAGTGGTTCAAATTCCAGTTCTATTGGCGTTATACATGAAAGTGATTCCGAATCGGCTAGTGGCGGAAATAGCGGTGGGAATGCTAAATCATCGATGACTAGTCAAAGTCCACCTCGAACACCACCTCAAAATATTGTCAATAATAATAATAATCAACAGCGTAGACAATCATCAAACACACAGAAACAAACCTGTTCATCACCAAATACAGTGAATCTCAAACGACATGATTCATCATCATCGATTGGTTCCAGTGTTGAAAGTGCCAGTTCTCGTGGCGGATCTTCTCGACATGTATTAACCACTGATGTTAGTCAAATGTCTCCACCGGTGAATTTTACACTTGGATCGAGTCCTACCCAATCACCAGGATCGGGTTTTATGCAGATGAATACTGGAAATAATAGTAGTTATCATCGATCTCGTCGTCTCAGTATACCTCATCTGAATCAGCAACAGCAACAACAATTTTCTCAACCGATTTCACCACCATATTTTAATTAGTATGTATTTGAATACAATTCACTTTTTCATGGGTAATTAATTGATTTATTTATTGATTTAGTCCTACATCAAATTATTCAAATCTATCTGGCTATCATTATGGTTCGATGGTAAATCATCATCATCACCATCAACAATATTACCATGGGTCACCCGAACGATATACAATGCAGAATACATCACCAAAATTATCTCAACATTCTAATCTTCGTCATAGTAAAACGGAACCATCAATTAGTTCACATTTGCCAGTTAATAATGATAATAGTAATGATAACCTAATGAAAACTATTCAACATTCATCATCATCATTGTTAGCCAAAGATTATTATGGATCAACGCGTGCATTGAATATTCAACAGCAACAAAATTATCCACATTATCATCAACATTATCATCATCATCACGGTCATCCACAAACCTATTGTCCGGCCGGTTCTGGACATTTTTACGGTATAACAGCCGTTCAACCACAGCCACAAGGTCCAGATAATAATAATAAATTAGTTCATCGTCATCATTATCAATCATCTGCCAATGTACATCCTTATTATACATTGAACCATCATCCACATCATCCATCAACAGGTGCACATCAACATTTATTTCCATGTTGCCCTAGCGCCAGTCAAATGATGCATTCACCGCCATCACCATCGTCAACTTCGTTTCGTTCACGTATGTTCCCGTATGTTAAAGACACACCAATCACTTTCGAACCACCCGTATTGTCCGAAGAGACTTTACTTGACAAACATCACAATGAAACATTAGCTAAATTGAACTTTGTATTAGCATTGGTTGATTCGATATTTGAATTAGTCAATGATATATCCAATCCAATTGCTGTGTTATCCGAATCAACTACGTCAAACGAGGTATGCCGGCAATAGAAATTATTTATTTATTTTTTTGTTTATAACTCAATGAACACTTATTCTAATCTATTTCATTTTTTCATCATGAATATAGCTCTCCGATGAAGAGCAGAAAAACAAAGAACGTTTCGTCCTATATTTTCGTTGTTTACAACTCTTATCATCGGCATTAAAATTGTCACAAAAAGAAATAAGCGATAAACGTCTTTATACATCGAATAATGTCCGAAATGGTAACACTTTTCTAATCATATTGGTCACAATGTTTAATAATGAAAATTTATTTATTTTTTCTAGTGTTGAAAATCATGAAAGATAAATATCATAAATGTTTGGATCTTTGTAATAATTTACGTGATGAAAATAAATTATTGCTAAAAACATTGGATAACATTTCGGCCGATAAAATTATTTACGAATATGCATTGAAAATGTGTCGATCAGGTGCCGTCGATGAATTGATTGGTTCACGTGAAGAGGTATAACAATTATTTTAAAAAAAACCATAAATCTCATATTTTCTTTTCTTTGTTTCCATTTTTACAGAGCTTCAAACGTTATCAAACAGCACAGATTCTGTTACATAGCCTAAGTCAACAGATCAATAATAATGATGATCGTTATATATTGAATAGATATCGTGAAGCAGTAGAAAAACGTTTATATTATCTATTACAGAATCAAGGATCTGGATATAATATTTTGACATATAATTCACCATGACATTATTATTCCACAACAGCCATCAACATCATCATCTTTCATCATCATCATCATCATTATTACTTGGCTAGAATATTCCTATCTACCACTACATTTTTATATTCCAATTCACCAATTCACTATTACTCATTTATACTCATTCATAAGCATATGAATAAACAAAATTTCGACATGACACAATTATTAGGATTCTAAATATATATATACTTTGTCTCTTTTTTTTGTTTCAAAACATCAAAAAAAAACTAAAAAAAAATTTCTCTTTTTTTTCTATTCATGTATGTTTGAATGATTTTTCATCCATGTACGAATCGAATCACAAATGACACATTCCGAATGTAAACATTTGTTCTTCTGTATTTTAAGCATCAAAATGATGATGACATGAAAAAGACTATCATGAAGGTCAATGCGACGACGACGACGACGACGACAAAATACATTTTGGCTTTATTATTGAATTGATTGAAATTATCCATATATTTTTTTTTGGTGGCTATCGATTTTTATCTCTGCATTTATGACATTTGTTTCATTGTAGTGTGATTTCTTTCGTTTTGTTTGTTTGTTTTTTCTTTCATTTTGATTTTTTTTGTGATTAATTCAATGTGTATAAAAAATTCACTCTTGTAAAAAAAATTTTAAATAAAATTTTTTCAAAATCTCATTATTAGCCTATAGATGGCACTTTAGCGAGTATTTTTCTTTTGCACAAGATATCATTTGTTGAACTGAGTTTTGATGATTTATGATTTGATGATAATCATCATCATCAACTTTAAAGCCTGGCGATGTCAAATCAGGTGATTGTACTACAAGATGGTTATAGCCGTTGGCATACAAAACCATATTCAATGTTGGCTAATGGTACATCAACATTGATTCGTTTGAATAATGGACAGAATATTATTGTCGACACATTAGGTCCATGGGACCGGGATCGTTTGCTAAAACTTTTGCAAGATAATCGAATGACAACCTCTGATGTTAGCATGGTTATTGGTACACATCTACATACGGACCATATTGGTAATCTAAATCTTTTTCCACAAGCTGCACAAATCGTTGGTGATCAACGATCATCTGGTGATTATTTCGAATTCGATATTTTTCGCGGACAGAGATCACTACAGTTGACCGAAAATGTTGATCTGATTTCAACACCTGGCCATATGCATAACGATGTTAGTGTGATCTGTCGTAATGTTGAGCGATTCGGTACAGTGGCCATTGTTGGTGATTTATTTGAATCGTCTGCCGATTTACAAAATGAACAATTGTGGATTGACGCTGGATCAATGGATCCCCCCATACAACGAAACAATCGTGATTATATACTATCAATCGCAGATTATATCGTTCCAGGGCATGGTGGAATGTTTAAAGTTCAAGATTTTTTACAAAAAAATCGTTAATCAAATTGAACATTGTCAGAGTCTTGCAAAACATATTCTTTCTGTACTATCTATTTCGTTTGAATAGAAGTATTTTTATTTGTTAATTCATTCAAATGGACCAATCTAGTGTTGTAAAAAATCGAAAAATTTGTTTAAATTTTTTTTTATATGTTCATTTTGTTTAATAAACGGTTTTCAAATTTGAATGCCTCATGTTTTCAATTGTCAATGCAAAAAAAAAAATCCTTCCTTCCTATATTGTTATTCGATCCGAATGATAACAATCAAATTATAAGGATTCGAATATTTTTCTTTCATTTCAAATGATCCTATGGCCAAATGATTGATGACAAAATGTTGATTTAATTTTCCATCATCATATCAAATTAAATTAACTAGAAATATCCATTATGATGTTTTAAGCATAATTACTATTAATACTAAATCTTATCGATTATCAGATCAAATACTATCTATACTAACTATTTGGATCCCAATCGAAGAACTATACACAACTTATTATGTGGGATTAAAATAAAATCATCATTTAATATGACCATTTTCTTTTCTTTTTTTTTCGTTTGTTGTCATATATGACGTCTTGTATTTGGTATGCAGATGTCAAAAAAGTGTAATCATTTCGTCAACCATTTTTATGGTGATTATTATTTCAAAGGTATAAAACAAAAACAAAACAAAAAGATAGGCATTTTAAAATGGGCAATTTTCAAGCTGAGCTCAGAAAACTGACCACCACTGCCACCACCATAGCTAACTCAGTCATAGTGATATGATCGGAATGATGACAAATTCAATGACAACAACAACAATGAATGATTATTATTATGCAATGATATAATGATAATGGAAATAATAACATTTACACATCAAAATAGGAATCATTTTAGGTTTGAATAAAACTTACAATACATATTACACACACACACACAAAAAAACACAAATACATGTTGTACTAATGTATATTCTGAGAATGTGGATGGTAAAAATTCACCATCATCATTTTTATCGTTCCCGGTTGTATATAATTCAAAGTTCAACACACACACACACACACACACAATTTTTTTTTTTTCTTATGTTATTTATTCTCAAATCTCAATTTTCGTGTTGAAAATTCACGTTTATGTGTTTGTAATGTTGTATGTATAGAGAGAGACTTTCCAGACTTGTTTGTCGACATTTTTCATTTTTTCTCTTGATCATCATTACCTTGTGTTCCGTTGTTATTATTATTATTATTATTATTATTCGGGCAACCGAATGTTTTTTCTCGTTTTTACTATTTTTTTTTTTTTTGTTTTCTCGGGTCATCATGGTATGCCCCTCTTGATCAACAATAACAAGTAGTGGCAGTATTTTATTCAAGAAAGAAAAGAAAAAACTTGCTAAAAAACTCCACCCATATAAATAATAATAAAGGGAATTTATTTATTTCGTACACACACACACAAACACATGTAACGAAATATGGTCTGACTTCGAAATTCATCATCATTCAGTTTAACGTTTTCATTCATTCATTCATCCATTCGATAACTTACCTGTTCATTTTGAAAACTGTGGATATTCACCTGTGTGTATGATGTTTGTCATGGTGATGGTGGCGGTCGTCATCGTTAAAATAAAAAAAAAATTGTACCACTACAATTTTTTTTGAACATCATAGGGGCAAATTTTTTCAGGCATTGTGTGTTTATTGTGGAAAATTGTAGATTTTGTTTTGTTGTTTAAGAGGCTGCACACAAATACAACATACAAGTGGATAGTAACAGGCTGCCAACAACAACAACAACAACAACAGAAAAAACCGAAAAACCGATCACGGCAGCTACGACAACGAAGAAAAAATTCCACAGACACACATGTGGCGGCTGTCGTCGTGTTGTCGGGTCAATATATATTTGTGTTTTAATATCCACCATTATCATCATAATATCAAAAATGAAGCCAGAATATCTAACCAACCAAAAACAGAGCAACAGGTAAATAAAATGTTTGGAATTTGATTTGTTTCGAGATTTATACATACCAAACATTGTTTTCTACTATGTGACATATTATCGTTATCATCGTTTATTCGGCACAAAAAAATCACATCTTTTGAATCCAGAAGATTTGTCATTTGTTTTTGTTTTGTTTTGTTTTCGTTTCGTTCTATCCAAATGTGTTCATATTATTTTGATAAAAGATTTCATTTCTTTGGAAAAAATGAAATATAAAAAAAAATGTTCCCATCACAATCCATTATCGAAAGTTTGTCATCATACGTCTATTTTTATGATTTGGACACAATGTAACCAATTATCATCATCATCATCATCATCTATAATTCGTTCATTCATCTTATCATTTTCATTCTTGTCAACCTTATTGTTAGTGTATCTGATTTTTTTAAGAATGGTCATATAATAAAAAATGATAACCATATGGTATGTGTACAGATATTTTTTTTTTATTGAATCATTGTATTTGATTTGAAGATTTAGATGTACAATACACATACAACGAATGCACGCAAAGTTTGATTCGATGCATCAAATAATACAGATTACAGAAAAGAGAAAAATTAACGATAACATCTGTGGTGAATGAAAAAAAAAATTTTTTTTTTGTTTGCGTGTCTGTTGTATCCAGGTGATTTTTGTTTCGAATCACATATGATTTCTTTTTACAATACTCTAATGAAAAATATTCAATGTTCTGGACATTAAATCATGATTCTGGTAATCAACGAGAAAAAAAAATCATTATGATGACAGATATATAATTACCTGTCGTTATATAGAAAATTAACAACAATAGCAACAACTACAACTAAAAAAGAACGAGAATAGCAAAATGTCATCGACAAAACAAGTTGATTTGTAATAAAAAAAATGACTACTTATTTGTAAGTCATCATCATCACTAAAGTTGTCGTTGTCATAGTCGTTCACCATCAATAATGACAGCGACAACAACAACAACGACAAAATTGATGATAATTGTAGAAACGAATTTCATTGGCATTCATCTTCAAAACCGCCATCATCACCACAACAACACTCAACATTATTGAATGGATCATTATGGACAAAAAAAATATATAACGGAAATCTTCCAACCAAAACGAATAACATACTTTCACCTTTGAAAAGTGAATTATGTTTACGATAATGATCGACAAAGTGAGTGAGTGAGTGAGTGAGTGAGAGACAAAAACAAACCCGATTACTATTGTATTATAGCAATTATCATTCAAAAAGATAATTTCTTTATGAATTTTTCTTTTTCTTTGCCATTGTTTCGAATCTTAATGCTGTGGTTATGTTTTCTCTTTTTAATATATTAGTTGATTATTGTCGAATTTCGTTAATTCTTTTTGAATTTGATTTTTTTTTTGTCAATCAATAATGATGAGATTGTTTGTAACAAAACATTCGTGCGTGTCCAACAAATACTAAAAAAAAATACACTTCGAAGAAAAATTGAATACATCCTGATGCAATATATCATTGATTCATTTTTTTTTCATTGTTATGTTTTGTATACTATTTTGACATTTGATTGTGAAAAATACCATAATAAAAGATTTTTTCTCTTTTTTTTTTCGTTGTTATTTTTTAGGTTATTTTTGGATGTCATTCGTCGTCGTACGACTAGAATGTATATATTATATGAATGAATCAAATCAAATCAAATCGAATCAAATTCAATCACATGAATCGACAACACAAAAATTGAATGACGATGCTTGATTTTTTTTTTGAAAAAAGAGAAAATGATTTCGTCTGTTTTTTTTGTACAAGGATTTCAAATTTGATTTTATTTTGGAATCGGATAAATCAAATCATTTTGGTTGATGTTGTCACTGTCAACGATTAATCGCCGAAATATATCATCATCATCACATGGATTATATCAAAATCAGAAAATTACATCCTCAATTTTATTGATGATTGATTTTGTGATAGCCTAGCAGCAGCATTTTTTATCATTAATCTGAAACAATCAATTTCATTCTATGTCATATGTTCAAATTGTATTTATTTATCGAATTTGATACGAGGAAAATTAAGGATCATTCGAATATATATGATCCATGATTATCATTTTCATATGTATTGTAACATCAGTTTTTTTGAATCAAATTTGACTGTTTTTTGTTTTGTTTTCCAACAAGTGTGTTCCAACAACAACAACAACAACAACAAGTGACAAATGTCTTTTCAACAAATGTTTTTGTTTCCATTTGTTTGTTGTTCTCATTCATAATAGTACAATCTGTCGTGGATGATGTTTTGTAAATTTGTTTTGTGTCCTTGATCTGTTTTGTACTATGTGTATGTGTGTGATCAAGATCACAATTATTATCATCGTCTGCCAACATTATATGGATGACGAGTGCGTTTTTTCTAGTTTTTCTACATTTCTTCGCTCGAATATATTCAATTGTTTTGGTTTTTTTCCTTTATTTGTTGCAAAAAAAAATGAAATGAATTTGTTGTTTTTGTGATGAAATTTTTTTAAACCCGCAAAATGATTTGAATATATTCAACGATCCATCATTTTCATCATCTATTGTCAACGTCATTATCATGGTCAATTATAATCTAAACGATGATTATGATAATGCTGATGATGATGATAATTTTGAATCACAAATGACAATGGTGACCACCATGATGATAACCTGTTGCCATTATTTTTATTCTGTTCAATAATGATTTACACAAAAAAAACGACAATCATATATCCATTATTTATAAATAATAATCGTCAAATTCTTCATTTATAACCATCATCATCATCATTTTTATAGTGCAAAAATTTTACTACCCGTATCATCATCATCATCATCACCAGGCTGCTGACACTATTTGCGCACATACTATATCTATTCGATTTGAATGGATGTTTTAGTAGATGATGATGATTCAACGAACAATGACCACAAAAGATCTTTCAACTGATCATCATAATAATAATCATCATCAACAACAACAACATAATCCTTCTATTCACCATCATCATTTCGAAGGGTAAACATAATTTGAGTATCTTTATGAATCGACATTTTACATGGTTTTTTTCATCCCAAAAGATCAGATCATCAGATAATTAATTTGTTTATTGTTTCTTTTATTATTTCCAACTTTTTTTTATCAAATATATTGTTCCGGATATTATCCGATCATTTAGATTACAGACACTTTGCCATATTGTCGATAATAAGTGCAATTCCTTTTGGTTTCTAAAATATTTTCATTTTTTTTTTTTTTTGACAGGTGGTTGGTCGGTTGATCAACCACCAAAAAACAATAGAGATAATATATAAAATAGATAATGTTGAAAAATAACCTGAATATAATAAGCTTTATCGTGATCAAAATAATCCATCCATTTGGATTATTATGATTATGATCATTATTACGGTTATTTTTACATTTAATTCATTCATCTATCCATCCATCCATCCATCCATGAGTGAGAAAGAAATCGAAATGTGTATGTGTATGACGACATGTGTTTATAACATTTGATTTTTTTTTTGCTAAGCACCAACAACAATAACAGAGAATAATTACCGATAATTGGTGTTAGTGTGGTATACATGTTTGATAATGGTAATGTCAATTTCGATGATAATGATGATAACAATAATAACATTTGTCTTTATATCAAATGTCGGATTGTATGTTAGAAATATGATATATGATGATGATGATGATGATGATGACAATAATGATTAGGATATATGGACCTTTTACATTGTAAATTTTCTATTCTGTTGCAGTTGATAGGTTTCGGTTTTTTTCATCTTGATTTTCCTGTCAAATCATACAACTGTGTGTGTGTGTGTGTGTCTGTATGTATTTATGGGTATTGGTTACACGGAAGCCAATGAACGATTGATTCAATTTTTTTTTGTATAATTTTTTTCTTCCAATTTCCATTCAAATTGAATTGAGTTGATTGATTTTTTTTTTGAAGTAAATTTTCCTTCTTTTTCCCTTTCACAAAAAAAATCAATCAAAATCAAGATCACTATTATTGTTATCGATGTAATTATAATTTGTTTTTGTATTTTTCCTTCTCGGTTAAATCTGGATTGATCATCATCATCATCATCATCGGTTGAATCGTGACCATAATTTTCTTGTCATCGAATCTGGTAATTTTTTTTTTATATTGTTTTCCATTCAAAATTGATGATTTTACTTTCGATATCTTCAATGTTCTGTGTAAATGTGTGTGGGTGAATTATTGTATGTTTGTTGTTGAAAAGATTTGCTGATTGGCCACATAATCATCATCATCATTTTTAATTTCAACAAACAATCCTAGAAAAAAAAGTTGAAAAATAAGAAATTTCATAAATTCACATCCAACAATCATCATGCATACCGTGTGTATATTAATATAATTGTGCGGATAAAAACATTTGGAAACAATGTTTAAAAAAAAATTATTATGACAATTCATTCAATCATCCATTATCATCATCATATGAAATTGAAAATGAAATGAGCAAATTTTTTTTCATATTTTTATGAAATATGACCGATCACATAATGTTTTGATGATTGATTGTAAATGGCCTGACAACACAATAAAAACCGTGTGGCCAAAAAAAAACATTTAAATTGAACATGAAAACATTGTTATATTGTTGTTGTTGTTGTTATTCATCTTATGTCCGAACATGACTGTTTGTTGTTATTGTTGTTGTTGTTGTTGAAAAGCTTAATAACGGGTTAATTTCATCCACATCATTGTTATTTGACCAAAAAAAAAATTGTTGGAATTTTTTTTCTAATATTCATATTTAATGCATGCAACACAATTGATCCGCATTAACAAATTTCAGACTTTTTTTTCATTGTTTATGGCGATATAGACAATTCTTTGTCAAAAAAAAAAAAAAAAAAAAAGTTTCCAAATTACCATTTACATTAAATTAAATTGAATAATTTTCGTTTTTTTTCAACTGATTCGACTG